ATGTCGTGGAAATGGGAAGAAGGATGGAGGGTACATGTAGTGGTGAAGAAAGATTAATATATATATAGGCAGAGAGTATCACTCCCTCGCTGGTCCTGCGCGGTGGCGTAGGTCCTCTTACACAACGTTGGTGCGTTCGACAAGACTGAAAGTGTTTTGGGAGATCAGTGAGTTGGAGGTCAAGAGCAGAGACTGATGCAATCGGAGGGAGGAGCGACTTACCCAACCCTCGGGTGGGCAACGAGCGCAGTGTCGACGGGCGCGATCCAGTTGCTCGCGTTTGCGGGGTTGCGATACCACTCGACTGTTATTGCGCACAAAGATGTGATTAGACGATGACTGAAGCATGAGCAGTGTAGCGGCTTATCAGAAGGGCTCACGTACTGGTCTTAGCGAGGCCGTCCTCGAAGGTGACCTCGGGCTTCCAGCCAAGCTTTTCGGTCTCGGAGGTGTCGATGTAGTACCTCAAGTCGTTGAACAGGCGGTCCTCCACGTGCTCCAGGTATTCGCTCTCCTTGTCGTCCAGTCCGAAGGCCTTGAGCAACCGGCGAGCGACATCGAGGTTGGAGAAGCAGTCATCCGAGCCAATGCTGTAGACCTTGCCTGCACAAGGAGAACGACCGAGACTCAGCCCACCACGTTTGACGCCACCTGAACCTCGAGAAGGATATCGCCTAGAACTGCATGAGTGTGGCGTACCGATTACGCCGTGGTGGATGATCTTATCGAACGCCCTGGCAACATCTTCGGCGAAGATGTAGTTTCGCTTGTTGGAACCGGTGCCGTGGATGTAGCTATGGAAAAGGATACAACCATAAAAACGGTCAAGCGCGTCAGTGGCTATGTCTATTATTCTCCACGCGCTTAGAGATTACACTTACCACTTCCTTCCTCGCTCCAGCAGGGAGATGAACTTGGGGATGATCTTCTCGGGGAACTGGTGAGGACCATACACGTTGTTCGAGCGCGTGATGATGATCGGCAGGTTGAACGAGCGGTGGTACGATCTGTTACCCCGAGCAACAACAACGAGGGTGAGCGTCACCTATCTGACTCTTCGCTCAGTCCGCACGTTCCAGACGTACCGCACAATCAACTCAGCGGCAGCCTTGCTCGCCGCATAAGGGTTGGTGGGCTCCATGATGCCGTCATTTTCGGCCTCCTGCAGGCGATGAGGGGTAAGAGGGTCAATCCAGGCTCAAGCGCTCAACACAAGGCCGTGGGTTTGGTCAGGCCGATACCACGCTCTCGCCCTTGACCTCGTCCGTCGAGACATGAATGAACCTCTTGATGCCAGCAGCCTAGAGGACAGAAGAGGACAAAAGAAGAAGACAGTCGGTGATGAGGAACGTTTCCCTTTGAGCCCGGAGCACGCGGCTAGCTAGGCCAGTACCTTGGCGGCCTCGAGCAGGACATGAGTGCCCAGAACGTTGGTCTCAGTGAACTGGAACGAGTTGCCGAAGGAGTTATCTGTGTTGTGGTGCGTGGCACGCTTAGACGGCCACCTATGGACAGTTGGGTGATGCTCGATAAGAAAGGAGCCACCTACCGACATGAGTCTGTGCGGCGAAGTGCACGATGGTGTCGATTTCCTCCTCCTTGAGGATGTAGTTCACCAGATCGGCGGAAAGGATGTTGCCCTGCGTAGTCGCCAAGAAAACAATAACTCAATCAATCTCCCAATCTCCGAAAGGGAAAGCGACCAGGAGGAGAGGATGGAGTTGGATTACCTTTACAAACTTGTAATTGGGCTTGCCGGCCAGCGAGGCGAGGTTCTTGAGCGAAGAGCAGTAATCCAGCTTGTCATAGTTCACAATCCTGTAGTGGGGATACTTGTTCACCAAGAGACAGACAGCGTGCGAGCCGCTGTAGAGCGCAAAGGAAATGTGAGCGTTCAATCTGTGCACCATTTGA